TTTTAAGAGCATTGTTTTTCACATTTGGTTTAAGAAAATGTCCACTCCATAAAGCAGAACTCAGTGGAATGAGTATATGTGATTAGTTTAATAGAATTATGTTGTAATGCTAGGACAAGATAGAATTGCCTAGTAGTTTCCAGGAGGGTCAGATATGTTTCAAATTGTCTTTAAAAGCAATTAAAACTGAGAAAACTTGATTTTTGCTAAATTATGAATACCTTATGACACAACAAAATTGAACAGAAGAAGTAACAGCTGAATCAAGTCATCTTTATTGTGTGAAAGCTTGAAACGTTTCACCATGTTTTAAAACAAGTTTACTAGTCCCTACCAAAATAACACCAGCATTTTTCACAGAGCTAGAACAAAGAATTCTAAAATTTGTATGGAACCAGAAAAGACCCCAAATGCCAAAGTAATGTGAGAAAAGAAAGCCAAAGCTGGAGACATCACAATTCTGGTCTTCAAGCTGTATTACAAAGCTGTAATCATCAAGATAGTATGGTACTGGCACAAAACCAGACACATAGATCAATGGAACAATAGAGAACCCAGAAATGGACGCACAAATGTATAGCCAACTAATCTTTTACAAAGCAAGAAAGAGCATGCAATAGAATAAAGTCTCTTTAACAAATGGTGTTGGGAAAACTGGACCACTTTCTTATGCTGTACGCAAAAATAAACTCAACATGGATGAAAGACCTAAATGTAAGACAGGAAACCACCAAAATCCTAGAGGAGAAAACAGGCAACCACCTCTTTAACCTTGGCCACAGCAACTTCTTAGTAGACCTGTCTCTGGAGGCAAGGGAAATAAAAGCAAAAATGAACTATTGGGTCCTCATCAAGATAAAAAGCTTCTGCACAGTAAAGGAAACAACAAAACTAAAGTGCAACTGACAGAATGGGAGAAGATATTTGCAAATGACTTTGCGAATGACATCTGATAAAAGGTTATCCAAAATTTATGAAGAACTTCCAAAGTAAACACCCAAAAAACAATCCAGTGAAAAAATGGGCAAAAGACATGGACACTTTTCCAAAGAAGACATCTAGGTGACTAAGAGACACACACAAAGATGCTCAACATCATTTATCATCAGGGAAATACAAATCAAAACTACAATAAGATACCACCTCACAGCTGTCAGAATTGCTAAAATTAACAACACAAGAAACAGGTGTTGGCGAGGATGCAGAGAAAGGGAAACGCTCTTGCACTGTTGGTGAGAATGCAAACTGGTGCAGCCACTCTGGAAAACAGTATGGAGGTTCTTCAAAAAATTAAAAATAGGAATACCCTATGACCCAGCAATTGTACTGCCAGCTATTTATCCAAAAAATACAAAAATGCTGATTCGAAGGGGCACATGCACCCTGACGTGTATAGCAGTACTATCAACAATAGACAAATTATGGAAAGAGCCAAAATGTCTATCAACTGACGACAAATGGATAAAGAAGATGTGGCATATATGTACAATGGAATATTACTCGGACATCGAAAAGAAATCTTGCCATTGCAACAACGTGGATGGAACTAGAGTGTATTATGCTAAGTGAAATAAGTCAGAGAAGGATACATGTATGATTTCACTCATGTGGAATTTAAGAAACAAATGAACATAGGGAAAGGGAAGGAAAAATAAGATAAAAAGAGGCAAACCAGAGACTCTTAAATACAGAGAAAAAAGGTTGCTGGAGGGATGTGGGTAGGGGGATGGGCTAAATAGGTGATGGGCATTAAGGAGAGCACTTGTTGGGATGAGCACTAGGTGTTATATGTAAATGATGAATCACTAAATTCTACTCCTGAAATCACTATTACACTGTGTGTTAATCCACCTGGATTTAAACAAAAATTTAAAATTAAAAAAAAAAAAATTTAGAAAAATGAGTTTAACATTTCTGGGATACCATTTTTGGGATAGAAAAAATGTCCAAAATGTTCATGGTGCATAGCAGTCTTGCTGCTAAATTAGGAATTGCATACTGTTTCTTTAGCATAAGAAATTATATACAGTTGACCGTTGAACAACTCAGGGTGGTGGTATTAAGGGTGCTGATTTACACTACACCCCCACCCCCGCCATACATACACTGTCAAAATCCCATATATAGCTTTGACTTCCCCAAAACTTAACTAGTAGTACCCTACTGTTGACAGGAAGCCTTATTGAAACAGTCAACATATATTTTGTAAGTTATATGTATTGTACTGCATTAGGATGTACTGTTGTGATACCCTGTGGGGTGTAGAGCTATTTCCAAAAAAATAGTTCCATACCATGTAACTTTTGTTGTACTAGTTAATGGCTTTGTCCTTTATTAGATGTGCCAGGCACTTCAGATATGTTAATGGTGGGGCTCCTGGGTGGGTCAGTTGGTTAAGCCTCTGACTTTTGATAATCGGTCAGGTGATGATCTTGCGGTCATGGGATCAAGCCCTGCTTCAGGCTCCGTGCTGAGCATGAAGCCTGCTTGGGGTTCTCTTTCTCTCTCCCTCTCCCCCACCTCCCCTGTGTTTCTTTGTCTCTCTCTCAAAACAAAATAAACTTAAAAAAAGGAATAACATCTTTTAAAAAAGGTATGTTACCAGCAATAGCACTGCTAGGAATTTATCCAAGGGACACAGGAGTACTGATGCATAGGGGCACTTGTACCCCAATGTTCATAGCAGCACTCTCAACAATAGCCAAATTATGGAAAGAGCCTAAATGTCCATCAACTGATGAATGGATAAAGAAATTGTGGTTTATATACACAATGGAGTACTACGTGGCAATGAGAAAAAATGAAATATGGCCTTTTGTAGCAACGTGGATGGAACTGGAGAGTGTGATGCTAAGTGAAATAAGCCATACAGAGAAAGACAGATACCATATGGTTTCACTCTTATGTGGATCCTGAGAAACTTAAGAGAAACCCATGGGGGAGGG